TATCAGAAAATCTTGACTAATGAAGCTTCTTGTAGGAACGATTGAATGTGGAAATCAAATAAGATATTTTTTCTTTTATTATCACAATAGAACATCTTTATAATGTACTGCCTGAATTCATCAGGATTGTAGCTTTGTATCACACTTCTGAAGACTTGCTAATTTATACTGTTTCATTAATAAATGTGCCCTGATTAACTAGAACTGCTTAAGTACGCAGCAAACATTAGGTTCATAAAAAAATCTATAAGCGATACTGGCATTTGCATATTGCATAACCTTTTTTTTTTTTTAATACGCAGGTAAAAAATCTATTTACAGACGACGGCGCCTTTAAGAGGCACACCGCCGAACGGACCTCACACCTGGCTCCCGCAAGTCTTACAAACCCCACAGTGGCTGCCCACCGAGGACCCCGCAACTCTTACGGGCGCTTTACGGTATAATATTCGCTAAAAAAGTCCTGCGAATACCCTCTAAGCTGCTTAGTGCGAAACCGCGGGATCCCCGTTTAGGGATTCTTCCGCGTCTCCGCACCCAGCAGCCTCCCGGCCTAGCCGGGGCTCCACGGCAGGGGTCTCCCGAGGTATTGCGGGGACCCCGCAGACGTGCGCAGGATGGCCCGCGCGTGGGGGCAAAATACGCGGCCTAGTGCCCACCGTACCGCCCCCCGTCCGCTGCGGAGGACTACTTGGGCATGCCCGTGTAGCTCCCTCCGCCGCCCCCCTCTTTGCAGGACAGAACTACAAGATGGGGGCTGCCGTCAGGGGATCCCTCGGTGGCCGGCACGGCAAAATGCGCCGTACCGGCCAGCTAGGGATCCCCGCGGGCAGGGTCATGGGACGGGCGTAGCCAGGGCACGCACTCGTCCTCTTCTGCCCGCTCTTCTTCGGCGGGAGGGAGCGGCCAGGGGATCATCCTCCCGCTCCCTCTCGGCTGCCTCCTTCTGCGAGATAACGTTCTCGCAGAAGGAGGCAGCCGCCTCCCATGCCGACTCGCTACGGAGCATGGCCTCTACCATGCTCCGCAGCGAGAGGGTTCCGCCTCCCAGCGCCGCAATCAGGTCGCGGCGCTGCTGCCGCCAGGCCGAGCACTCCAGCAAGGTGTGCTCGGCCGTATCGTCCGGGGCGCCGCAGTGATGACACTGCGGCGTTTCCTCCCGACGTGCGACACGGTACAGGTAGTGACCGAAGCATCCGTGCCCGGTCAGTACCTGCACCATGCGGAACGAGAGGCCGCCGCGCCGGCGACCCACCCACTCCTCCAACACCGGACGAATGGCCTCAATCGTCCGGTGGCTGCATATTGCATAACCTGGAATGTGAAACGCCAAAACATCTAATTTAATTTGAAAAACAAAAGTATTAAATCTTTAATAGATTTCAAATAGAGTCAATTTTAAACCAATTTTATACAAAAAATACATAAAATTAAATTTTACAGCAGCAGTAAGAAACTGAATGACATATTTACAGTGAGCTTTTGGCGCGGTTTTGAATTTAGTCATTTTAACACTGTTTTAAGCGGTTTTGATTGAAAATAAAAGAGATTTACATTCAGTGGGCCCAAAACCGGACTGTAAAAAAAAGCATTTTGACTAGATGCGTAATTATACCGTTTTGTTTGCCAGGTCCTCATATAATACATACTTATATTAAACCCACCAATTTTCATCGCTTAAACATAACTAGCAAACCAGTGAACCAAATGTTCACCAAAACCTGATTTCTCGAAAACCGGAAGTGCTACGTTACTCAAATCCGGTTTGTAGTCTTATCAGACTATTCTTAACGTATAACTTAAATATTCTCTTTATCTATCTCTTACGGTTTGGCCGCTGAAACAGCACCACAATCAGACGGACTTGTCTAATAGATAAGAGATTATAGTTCTTATCCACCCCCTCCATTTAACATTCGATCGACGATCTCAATATTGTGCAGCCTACATAAAGTTGTGGTTCAAGAATAGATTTAATGTTTCCATCATGATGTAACACCTAAAGCCGTATTTAGAAAATGAACTCATCTGAATCAATGAAGAATGGCCTCATAAAAAATTACTTGCCTTGGACGTAATTGACAAATAGCTAATTTCCGCTTTGGAGGTTTAGATATTTGGAGGATACACGTGGTCTGATATCATCAACAATGATAACTTAAACTAATACATGAATGATTTATTCCCTAACTCGAGAACACCACAATTAGTTTTCCAAACACTTTGTAACATTATGTATTTTCTTTGGTGTTTTATGATCTAACTGTTTGATATACAGATTCTTACGCAAGTTTAAAAATTGGGTAATCAGATGTAAGATCCACCAATCAAAAAAACCAGTCCAGTTTGATTTGGCATTTCAAGTTAATTTCTTTCTTTTTTCGCTAACAATTCTAATTCGTTTTTAAAAATTAGTAAATTTGTTTAATGGTTAGATTTCTGTTTTTATCGCATTTGTACGTTTTTTCGTCATCATGAATACGTTAAAAAATCGAGTGATTATGTAGTATTAGTAGTCATGGCAGCAAAGCGGCAGGAGCAGCACGCAACACCAACGACGTTTACGGAGCGAACACTACTAACGATCGCACGCCCCGTTATTAGTTTGCCTGCTTCAGTTCTGGGAATTTCGATCTAAGAACCCCGTGTTCGCCGAAACTTTGGTCGACGATGACGAAGTAAAGGCGATTGTGGAAGCTGATGATTCTCAATGTACAAGTGAATTAGCAGCAGCTTTCGATGTTAGCACCAAAACCAAATGGACCAATATCCATTTGCGTCAAATTGCCAAGGTAAAAAAGCTTTACAAATGGATGCCCCACGAATTGACGCCAGCACTAAGTACGCGTCAAGTCGAGCCTTGCAGTGCTCAACAGGCACACAAACGAAGGCATATTGAATAACATTGTTACTTGCCATAGAAAATGGATTTTGTTTAACAATTGCCAGCACTTAGCAGGTTGCTTAGATCCTGGTTCAGCACCTAAAGAATGCCCCAAACAAAAAGTGACCCCTAAAAAAAGTGATGGTCACTGTTTGGTGGTCTAGCGCCGGTGTCATTCATTACTGCTTCTAACCAATAGGATAAACATTACTGCAGATGTGTATTGTGAAGAACAGAAGCTCACACATCTCCAACCAGGTTTGATAAATCATTCGGCTCCGCTGCTCCTGTACGACAACGCGCAACCTCTTTGCAAGATTAAGTGGGTGACCGAAAGTTGACTATCTTGAGCTCCTCCGTGCAGTCGTTAGTCTCCGACCAATCCGCACTGGACCCGCGTGGTGGGTGATGGCCTTATCTCCCTATTCCATCCATAGAGGGAAGGCCTGTGCCCCAGCAGTGGGGACATTAATAGGCTGTTAATGATAAACCTGAGGGTGCAACAGACACTAACCATCATCTTAATTTTTTTATTAAATCCTATGCAGCGTTTCAGCATTTTTAACTAATATTTCAATACAATAGTAACCGAACATTGTTTTTAACAATGATAATTCATTTAATTTTCCAGATAGAATTATGACGACATTTAACACCCATGATTCTGATACAGAATGATTCACTTTATTGGTCAGCCTAAAGTTGAAGAAGTCTTACATCATCACTGTATTGATTCAGGTCTTATTCATTATTATTGTAATCACGGAAAGACACAATTTTCACACCTTCATCGTGTACCGATGCAAGTCCTTATACGTCTATTCACAAATAAAATAACAATTTAAAAATATCTTCTAAAATGTGTAAAACATAAAATATCCTTTTGTGTGAAAAAACACTAATGTTCAATGTTGAGGTTAAGCATTCATTTATCTCCTTCCGGTTCCGGTTAGTAGTTTTCCTTATTCGTTTAGTTTTAGTGTAAGTTCTCAAATGAAAAGAATCGAAGAAGTATGTGGTTTTCTCATAGGTACTTAATTATGATCTTGTTGTTTAAGTGATATTACTTAAGATAATAATAAGACATGAGATTTATTTCCATAATAAAGTTTTCTTCTCTCTTATCTTCATATATTTATTCTAGAACAATAAGAAGTTACTACTGTGGCTTTGATTTATTTACTACTATTTATGTTATACATATTAATGACAGTCTCCAGACTTTCAAATCATGAACTGATTTGAATGTCGAGTACATATTTAGTTTTTTATTTTTATTTAACTGTATAGTCGTTAATCCTACTACGAATACGATAATATGTACTACCAAACGATAAAGGTATATAGATAATATGATAAGCAATATGTAACAAACATGGTTAATTTATCAATACGGTTCATGAAATGGATTAGTAGTAAAACATGTATCTATCTACCTATTGGTTTAAAAATAACACTGATATAGTTTCAAGGAATTTAAAACTAAAGTGTCAAAGTCCAAAAGTTGCTTTAGTTACATTAATACAAAGAATTTTAAACTGTTCAATATAGTTTCTTCATTTAGGATACATTCAATAGCTATCCATTTTAGCAATCGAATATCTGTAAGAATTACCCTTCATAATATATTATACAGAATATGTTTACACACTAAACTGGTTTTAATTATAATTTTTAATTTTGGTCATTAAACCATCAAGATAGGTAGGTACAGAAAATAATATTTCCATCAGCATTGCTTGCAAACGTAATGTTATGTATGTTTATGATGAACGTTATAAGAATACATACGGCAATGGAAATCTAATAATTTCACTAATAGAAATTGGTTTTCTTATTTCACTTTTTAATATTAAAGTCAAGTTACAATCCATGAAATTTTACAATAAAAACTTATTTGTTTGTTATTCATCCGTTGTTGTTAAGACCAAAAGAGTATTTAAAATTTCTTACTTTATGATAATTACAATGGTAAGACTGATTTCTTTGTCAACAGAATGATCTTAATCCGACGCGTAGTGCGCCGGTATGCGCGAGTCAAATCTCCCCCAAATTTAGGCCGAATCAGTTAAGAATTCATGGAAACTACATAAAATTTGAACAAAATTAGACTCACCAATTCGACGAACTTGATAATAGACAGCCGGCTGATATTCATTTTGAAGTTTGAATGTAGAGAACGGTTTTGTTTACAATAAACACTGAAAACACGTGCGTTTCGGGCGGGGTCAGCAATGCAACTGCGGAGTTATTTTTTGTTGTGGCTGGCTGTGCCTTTACGATACGGTTACGTTACGAGGATGACTCGATTCACGCATCGCCTGGTTCGTTGTGGTACTCACGAGTAAAGTAACCCAAAACACCTATATTCTCCAACGCACATTGAGTTTTATGGTACGAGATATAAGATTCACAACACAACCTGTTGAGAAGTTAGTTTGTGGCAACTCGGTGTGTGGCTATCTGTACCTACACGCCAACTTTTGTTCAAGTGAGATCATTCGCGTGATATTATACTTTGCTACTTATTTAACGAATGACTCACTAAAACATCGCTAATTTTAAATCTAAAGAAAAGTTTACTAGAAATGAATCCACGCGGACCAGGCAGCGGACGGGACGGGATTTTTTTTTTCTAGTAAACTTTTCTTTAGATTTAAACATCTAGCAGTTAAATGCTTAAAAATAAATAAAAACATCGCTAATTTTATTTTACTTACATGTATACAAGTTATTTAATGTTTATTTACGTGTTTTTCCTAGAATTTAATGAAGTAATAACAATGGTATGGTACAATAAAATAAATTGTAGTGATAAACCTAATTTTTATATCAACTTAGACAGTGAAATTTTACTTACACTCAGTTTTTCTTTTTAATTGATAAATTGCTTAAAACAGGCCAATATTATTTGAATAAACACTGATTCTGAAAAATTGCATACCTATATAACTTTAACTGCACAAAAAAGGGATACTTAACGACATTTAATAAAATTTCTTTTTTAACTAGTATCCAGAACCGTCGAGAGTTCCAATCCAAGTAGCTACCTCATATTTACCAACCAAGTAGTCTATGCGGAGATTACTTAAATCGACTGCAGGTAATTATTATGACAATGATCCTTTAATTCTGCCGATCGTGATGCCACTTTTTGTAAAGCTAAATGCTGGAATAGAAAAAATCTTTCATCTACGATACGATTTATTGACCCATGCAGAGTTCTGTCAGCATCGAATCAGACAGAAGTAACTAACACCCATAAAACAATGGAAAGGCACTTCTGTTGTTACTTTTCTTGCTTTTACAAGGAAACTATATAATTTATATCTTTATCATCAAAAGAAGGATGAATTGATGCCCCGTAACAGAAACCTCCACCTTACCAACTGAAGACGACAATAAAATAACAAATAAAACTATATCTTTTTGTGTGGCATGGTGTATCTGATGGTGAGTAAGGTTTCAAGGGCTCCATTAGGTCAAGGTAGAAGAGGCAGGTAGGCCAAGGCATAAGGATACGATAAGGATACTCTCGTATCCTTATGCCTTGGTCACACGTACCGAATAAATGGCGAGACAGTAAAATGTTTCTCGACCGAGACAGTGATGGAAGTTAAAAACTTATGTAAAAGCGCTCGGTCGAGCACTCGTCGCTATGTTTATACATATCGAGTACTCGGCCGAGAGCACTGTCTCGCTCGTTTGCTCGGTACGTGTGATCAAGGCATAAAGGCTAGGGTGGCCGCTTACCATCAGGCGTAGCAAATGTTTGTTTACTCTGGACACATAAACAGAACAGTTAAAAATAGATACTTATTGTGTGTATAAAGAAATGTAATCTTTACGGTTCTTTATTAAAACGATATTGTACCTGTTTAAACTTTGATAATGTAGAGTGAGTAATAATGTAAATTTTTAGCACCTACAATCACCATTACTGTGATTAGGAGCAGGAAAATAAATACTTTCCAATTTTTTTATTGCTTAAATTTACCGCATATAATTTTATAATTAGATACAAGATAAGGCCCGCCAGAATGGCCCCGAGGATCTAATTAGAAACAGCGCGTTTGTTCAAAAATGCCTGTGTAATATGTAATGTCTAATCCTTCATATTTTTAAAACTTTGATGACGCTAAATAGTAATGTTAAGTTTCTTTGCTGCCGGTATGGATACACGTGTACATGCAATGTTTATATTATCAGCTAATTAACGCTTTGAATTTTTGGCTGTGAAACGAGTTGTAAGAAGTTCGTCATTTCCGAACATAGTTCACGACGAGCCGCCAAATTAAGTATGACATAACGTTAATAACATTCGTCAAATATTTACTGAGGGACTAATACACTTAATGAGCTGTTTGGCAGGTTTCTGGAAACAAAATAGGTAATAAGTATAAAATAGCCGAAATTCATGAATTTAAAGCAAAATAAAAATAATGGCAGTAAGTATACATATAGGTATCAAAGTATTTAGGTATTATAGCATTTGACAGTTCATGGACTAAAGATTTCGCTACTTATTTCTTACACCGATAAAAGGTGGCGTCTGATACGCAGTAGGGATTAATTGTTTTATTGTATGTATGATTAATCTTTAGAGTTTTCGTAACTTATATAAATGGGTATTAATAAAAAAAAGTTAAATGTGGTTGCGCTGCTTTCGACGTCCATCGCTACCTGAATAAGCTTTAAGTTCATCGTTCATCCCATCTTATTGAGTTACTCATTGAGCTTAATATTTAAGTACGGGATATATTTTCCTATTTAGTTATCACATAGATATCTTTATTTAATTTATTCAGAATATTTGGATAGACAAAACAACCAGAACGCTTTCGGCCGCCTGCAACCAGTTGTCTACGAGGATTTTTAATCTTTACTTTATTCAGAAGAAGTATTCTTGGCCAATATATAAAGATGTCCATGTGATTACGAAATAAGAGAATATATTCCGGAGGTACATAATAATAAAAGCCCAATGATGTGATGAACGGTGAACTTAAACTTTACCGCCATCTACCAGTTAGCGAATGAATTACTTCAGGCGTCTCTACCAACTTTGGTAGAGCAAAGCAATACTATTCTAATAGTTCCACATGATGACAAAAGATAGAGCAGTTATAAACATCTACACATTGTGTCAAATAAAACAGAATAAGCAGGAAAATATTTAGAAAAATAATTTCCTGAAACCTAGATTGAATAAATAAATTAAGTGCCCACTTACATTAAAACAGGAAAGCTAAAGGACGTGCTATTTTTGGGACTAAAAATAAATTTGATTGTGGTTCACACTATCTTATTATGTATGTGGTTTACTGATAGAGAAGATAGTAAAAGATGGTCCTACGAAAACAAAAATATTTCATTCAGTTATCAATCAACGATTTTTTTTCATTATTGTTTTACTTTTATGACATTGGAATTTCAAATTAATGTAATTATCAATACAATAATTCAATTCATTAATCTAATTGCTTACATCTTCGTGGACTAGTAAGTTGGAAAGTACTCATAAACAGTACCCCTAGTAGGTACGAACCAAAATCAAATTCGAATAGTTTGCGAGTATGAAATGTCATTGTCAAATTTTGTATGGAAACTTGAACAGCAGCGCGATAACGGACGTAACGAGAACTAAACATCAGTACACATTTGACAATGATATTTCGCACTCGCAAACTATTCGAATTCGATATTAGTTCATGCTAGGGGTGCTGAATGTTTACATTTAGTCAGTCGAACTGAAATGTTTGTACCTAGTTCTTAACTACTGATTCATATAAGTCTGGATTGCTTTAACTGCTTTAAATGCACAATTACCTATGTAAGTACTATGTTGTAGTTCACTTCTTATAGTTATAACATAATTTGAAACAAATTTTTTAAATTATTTTACATAACACAATGTATATCTTTTTTAATTAATGTTACTGTTATTATTTTTAGTTGGAATAAAATAAGACTCTAAGTGACTGACAATCAACGCCCAACCCAAACCGCTTGGTCTAGACACTCCAAATTTGGCACATATGTTCTTTATGAGATCTAGGGGTGCACTAAGAAAGGATTTTTCAAAATTCACCCCCAAAGGGTTTGAAATAGAGGCTGAAAGTTTGTATGAAAAATCTTATTCCATAAGTTTATAGACTGGAAACGGCAAAAATACTTACTTATCTTAATAAATTATAAAGTTTGCCATTTTCGGTTTCTCTAAATTCTCCTAAAGGGGGGATTGGAGGCTGCCCAAGTATTTAATGATGAATTTTAACGCGCGTTTCGAATAACTCTAAACTCAGTATTTATACTTGAGAACTGAAATAAAGAATAACATGTATCAAGGTTCTTTGAAAAACTACCCCTCGGGGTGAAAAGGGATGGTAAATTTTACTAGTCAGTATTTTACTGCAGGGCTTGATTAAATCGGAAAAGGGCTCAACAAAGGAGATTGCTCAAATTGGCCCAAATGCACAAAAAATATTGACATACACGGTAATTCTTGGCGTAATTTATAATTTAATATACAATCATTAGATATCAACGGACACCTTTATATAATATATTTACTTTAAAAAGGACTTTTAATTTTACCGGTTTGGAATACATACGAATCATGTTTAATGGCTATGGATGTAGTAACATTCAGCCAAAGACTGATCGAAGTTGTATATATAACATAAAAACAAATCTATTTTGTAAAGATCGATAAAATAAATATTTTTTTTTTTATTAAACTGTGGTATTAATATCCACAACTATATTATCATTTTTACTAGATGCAAATGTGCTCAGACAATTATTATAGATGGTAGGCGACATCATAAAGTCTATTGCCATACATTTTTCGCCAAACACCTCCATAAACACATTATAATCTGTATATATGTTAGACTTTAAGGTATCTACTATGGGCCTACGTTCCTGAATATAAATTAATAAATAAATAAAATTATAAGGTGTGATACACTAAAAATCTAAAATATGGTTACCTTAAAAACATAACAAAAATAATGAAGCTACTGAATATATGGCTATAGAACCTAAATCTCTTAGCTTTCTTTGGTTAACAAGAGTTTAAAAATTCTCTCTAATCTGTGGCTCATTCACAATCATCACACAGTCTCTGTCACAGAGTACCTTATTATAACCGGAAATGACACCTGATTTTAAAAGTTACTCTTAGGCATTAACTTTAAAAACAGGCAATTATCTGTTAATCTACATGCTCTATATACCTGAATCTAATCCATAATTTCGGTACTTGGCTTGATTTCCCTAGTTTACTATATAACTTATTTGTTTTTTATTATTTTAATATGTTCAGTGTATATGGTTTATAGAAGTTCTCAGGGGTGTCCGTCAATAATATTCGTTTCTACGGTAGTTTATATATAATATCGAATCCAGGAAACAATTTTTCATGATTATTGGTCTGTAGGCCAAACATGTATGGAAGCTGAGCAATCTCCTTTGGATAAAATTTGGCACACATATAGTTAATTAACCTGGATTGAGGATAATTTCGAAGAACTAAAGTTAACGTCGATGAATACGCATACGGCTGCTAGTTAGTTGATAAATTACCAGTGTCCTTCTGTAACTCTTATATGAAAAATATCTTATTTATTATTATAACTTTTGCAAAGCTATGGTATTAAAATATCGTATATAAAATGTGAACCACTCTTATTATGAATAATCAACCTTTGGAAACAGGTTTTTGGATTGATTCCAGTGCTGACATAATTTTTGTGCACTGAGCAGACGGCAAGCAATGTATCTATGCCATGTTTATGCACGCAGTTTAGCAGTACACTCATATCATATTTAATTCTTCACTAGTCTCTCATTGTCACAAAATAATTTTGAACGTCTTCAATTATAAATACTTTATAACAACCGTATTTACAAAAGAAACATTTTACGATAGCAAAACTGAGTTTCTAAAATCTCTAATATCAACAAATCAGTCTCGTTATGAGCCTTAGGAAAAAGTGCTGACGTCGTCTTTGTGGGCTGAGCAGACGACAAGCAGTGCGTCTATAGTGAGCAACGCGGCAGCAGCTAGCGAGCAGACAGCGGACACTTAAGCAAGATGCGTCCTTCGCGTCGCATGCAGGGCGAGACATCAATTTAATGTAATTCTCATGATTAAAAATAATGTTAAACATCTTCGATGAAATACTTTATTAAACACATTACAAATGAAACTTTATACGATAGTAAAATTGAAGTTCTAAAATCTCTAATATCAACAAATCAGTCACGTTATGAACAACCTTTGGAAACGGGCTTCCTAGACTTAGTTCTAGTGCTGGCGTCGTCTTTGTGGGCTGAGCAGACGGCAAGCAGCGCGTCTATAGTGAGCAGCGCGGCGGCAGCTAGCGAGCAGACAGCGGACGCTTGAGCGTAGCTGCGTCGCATGCAGGCGGGTACGTCGCGCCACCAACGCAGCGTCAATGCACCGCATAAACCGAACAACACGCCGCCCGACGCCGACCACCACGCGTCAACGTACGCGTCTGCTGCTGCTGATACTGCTTCACCTTCAACCAGTGTTTACAATGAACTAGGTCTTTGATCATGACAAAACACCATTTGTCCGAAAACAGAATAAACGAGAAAATCGGATCGGAATGGAATTTATGTAATAACTTAACGGAATTCCCTCTCATAAAGCTTAAAATAAAAAATACATATTGACGATTTATTTTTAAGTATATCTTCTTTTAAATACTTCCTAATATAAACCAATCATAAGCCACTTTTAACTTTAAAGTTTAATAAGAAAGTCGCACTTTTTCAATATCATTATTAAAGATAAAATGTGTAAGACAAAAATTGCAACAAAAACTTAAAATGGCAGACCTCAATGAATTACACGCTTTCTTCTTCAAACTCCTCGGAGTCCAAGTATGCCAGGCTTAAGTCAAACAGCATGATGAGAGCATTCGCAACGGCCAGAGAACCGGCGATCAGGGCTAACGTCGGATCTCCGGTCCTGGGGTACTGAGAAGTGCGCGTCCTCGAGGATAGGATCATACCACCGCTGATTGTGAACATACCCACACCCAGGATGCCAAAATACATGTCTTGGACGAGATCGAGTGGTGCGAATATCATTTCACCTAGAATATTTACGGTTAATTTAAAATACAAAACTTCTTTTCACATTCTATAGAAGTGCGACTTCCCTATTTCTTTAAGATAAGATTGTTAAGTTTTGTTATACTACCCAATTAACTAAAAGTTTTCTTTCTAATAAGATTGTTACTTGTTGACTATAATATACGAACAACCAAGAAATACCTACCAACTAAACATTAGTCTATTTCTATTAAATACGATGTAGCGAATTCTTTTCCATGAATCACAATGTGAAAAGTATTTACATATTAGACTGCGTAGGACACTCGAAATCAGTTGCGCGTGTTCTGGAACGTTAGTCCATACTTGTGGCTACGTGTACAGTACATACAGTCTTGGAGAACGCGTGACGTAACGCGCGAGCTGCTGTCAGTCAGTTTTCGGTAGCGCGTCAAAAAGGATGCACAAGCCTGGGTTATTACGCTATATTTTAATGCCGAATTAGATGTTCATCGAGTTTCAATAATGAATAATCATGACTGACTGGTAGCGTTGGGGGCGATCCATACAGGGGCTGTACAGGGTACAGGTATCCAATGCGCGTACATGTGGACAACGTGTCCCAACTACGCGTAATAAAAACACGCGCTATCTATACGCAGCATTATAAATAATAACAAAATAATAATAAAAAAAGGTAGTAGAGACCTACAATTTAAACTCGAAGGATATATAATTATTATCTATTATTTGTTATACCTGTGTGACTAAGTCATTAGATGCCATGTTCATCATGTTTAAGAACCGTATGATTACATACGGTTCATAAGTATTAACTTAGTTTGCAAATAAAGAGTTTGAGTTTGATATTGCTTAACGTAAGTAGCTGTTGGTCAGACGCGTAACGAGGAAAACTAATAATAAAAAAAAGAATAAATAGGGGTAGCAAAATTCTGTGGTAACCTGACAGCGACCCGGTAAAACTTCTAGTGGTTTAGTAGGGAGCCTACCCACTGTCTGTTAGTGGACAGGCTCTCTACTAAACCACTGGACGAGAACAGTGCAGAAACGGTCAGTGTCAAGATCCTCAGTTACTTCCTGAAGTTCGCATTCTCAATAGAACATCGTAACTTACCTACTATCTCTCCAGAGAGTATCACAACGTATCCAATGTATGTGCCTGAGCAAAGCATCAGTGTCGGAATATCCGTGAGGTCGTAACTGTAGTGGTGGAGAGTCAAGCAGGCTATAGTTAGCATCTGTAATAAAATGAAATATCATAGATATTCAAATAAACGAGCAGTGCTCAATTTCTTTGATGGACGAAGTTCGCAACGTGGTTATCCGGATAACAACTGGAGTAACCTAATTCCAAAATCACTAACTGAAGTGGTAGTGGGCTGGCCATATGTGTCGAAGGACCGATGGCCGTTGGAGCAGACGAAATGTTTGAGTGAAGACCGCGTACCGGTAATCCTGGTGTGGGATGCCCTTCAGCTAGAGGTATCAACGATTTTAAGAGAGCGGCTGGGTGATACTGGATTCGGAAGTAAGAGTAAGTAACTGGGTATTCTGGCGCAAATTGGGAGAGGCTTATGTCCAGCAGGGGACTGCGATAGGCTGAGTTGATTCATACTGAACTTACTGAAAACTCTCCAGCAACAGGAAAAACAATCCTGTAATGAATTTGTGCTAAACGTTTTTGTAGAGTATCGAATGATATGGTGAATGAGGATAAAACTATAAAATAAACACTAAATTAGGAAAATCTATTTATTTATTTTTTGCATAATTACCAATTTGAAGAATTACAATCCTGAAATTAATTTTTACTAAACATTTTTGTAAACTATCGCATAAAATGATGAATGAGGATAAAACATAAAATAGAAACTAAATTAGGAAAAATCTATTTATCAATATTTTTTTTGCATAATTACCAATTCGAAGAATTTTATAACACAAGTCGGTATTAACATTTTGATGTACTTTTTTGTTAGCAACAACTTATTTATTCAAAAGAAAATTTATAAATTCACATACCTATTACAGTGTCAGTTAGAGTGTCAGATTGTTATTATAAAAGTGAAAACCTTCAAAACTGACACAGTTTGTCAAAGTGTAAATGCCCACAGATACTAGCCTTAACCCCATATGCACGTTTTAATGGGTCTATAATAACGGATGCGTTATTGCGATAATGCGCCCTACTTTTATAGCGTCGTTATATTATCACAGCGGTGTGTAATTTCGCAGCTGTTCTAATTTAATACATAATGTACTAAAAACAGATATCGCAATAACGCATCCTATATTATCGGCCGTTAATGATTGAATAAAAATTTCGCCTTTCTTGAACTGGCAAAATCATTGACATAAGTTTTTACTATTGCCATCTCATTTGAACTGTCGTTATGCTTTTAAAGTGTTGGGTCCGGGTTGATTGTCTACTTTAATTTTTTATCACTAAACCGAACAGTTTATTATTGTAAAGATATGAGTACCTACTTATACACACATCAAAAAAGGTATTTAAGCAAAACACACGCATCATTTACAGAAACTGTATGTTTTATTCATTGATGTTATTTTTTTTCTTGGCAAAGTAGATTGTTATACATACTGTCTTTTTGGATCTTGAAAATATAATTGCCTGATTTAAATAGAATTCGATTGTGTTAATAATAGAATGGTGTAAATATATTATAATAGTAAAAATCTTTCAAAAGTTCAAAACCGCACAAGTTGCTTAAAATTTTTTGATGTGCATAATATTGTTACGTATGGGGATGGGGTTTGAAATTATACAAATTATATTATACGCCACTTCACGATTGTCAGTTCCATAATCACATCTGAAATCGCTGTTGAAACTCAACTGTTGTCGCCTTGAAGGTAAACTGTCACTCGTTTTCTTTCTTTGAGTGTGAATGCTGATGCCGTTGGTCTCAGATGACCTTTACAGCGTCATCGGGTTGGGGACGGCGAGATACTAGACGGATCTCAAGTGAGGTGCTAAAAACATAGAATATAAACTGCTGCCCATTAACTTTGGAAGTACATTCTGTGAAAATTTCAATTTTCTACCAAACATCTGTGTTATGAATTCGAGCATTTGTACCTAACTCATGGATGTTTATATATTTAAAAATAAATAAAAATATACTAATATATGTACCTACTAGTACATGTATTCTGTCCGATATCCCCTAGTATAACACAAGACTGTCGGTACTTTCTTCAGGCCTGGGCTAATTGGTGTGTGTGTGTGTAAGTGAGAACACTTATTTATTAATTTAATTACGGAGCATACGAGTAGGAGACGGTCCGCTGACAGAAAGATAAAAAGCGGTTTTACCGTGTGCCAACGTAATCCTTAAAATACGATTTTAGGTATTTCCTATACATTAACCTTTTCATTTGCATTTTTACAAGGTTTCCGAAAAGTTCAAAGTCAGGTTAGAATGAAAGTAAAGGTGCCTATTGCGTCTCCACAAAATCAGAACATTAACCTAAGCATTGTTTGAAATTTCGAGTCAAGTACATTAAATCTGATTTAGTACTACCTACATATAAAAACACGCTTTTGCCCGCCGTTTCACTCGCGTTAGATTTGATTTTGAGTAATGATAGTTGTCACACTCAGAAATTATTGTGTTTTTAGACTTTGTTATGTTCTTATTTTATTTTTCTTATTTTGATGACCTCTGTGGCCGAGTGGTTTGTACGCCGGGTTTCATGGTGTCGCCGACTCGAGAGGTCCTGGGTTCAAATCCCGGTGGGGGCAGCTGTTTGTGTGATGAATATGAGCATTTGTACTCCAGTCATGGATGTTTCATATGTATTTTCTATATAAATATACTTATATATGTACAGTACATGTATTCTATCCTTTACCCTAGTATCCCATAACACAAGCCTTATAGTGCTTACTTTGGGGCTAGGCAAATTGGTGTGAGTGTTGGAAATATTTATTATATTTTATTATTATTATTGTTACCCCATTTTACTTTAGGTTTGATTTTGAAAAACCCTGCAACAGTTATTTGCTTAAATCTAATGAAAATATAACTAGAAAAAATTCCACGCGGACCAGGCAGCAGACGGGACTCGAACCCGCACCCTTCGCAATCCGGGCGAATGCACTGACCAATTATGCTACCGCGGCCCTCACGGACCGCGTCGAAATTCTTTCTAGCTATTCTTAAGCTGCAAGGCAGCGCCATCTCTTCGCATTATAGGTAAACCCACAATGTCAAATGAATACTTTTACAAGTATTAAACATTTGAAAGAAGAAATAGCAATTATAGTTATAATTTTTGTTATTTTTAAAGCATGTAACTGCTTGATGTTTAAATCTAATGAAAATATAACTAGAAAAAATTCCACGCGGACCAGGCAGCAGACGGGACTCGAACCCGCACCCTTCGCAATCCGGGCGAATGCACTGACCAATTATGCTACCGCGGCCCTCACGGACCGCGTCGAAATTCTTTCTAGCTATTCTTAAGCTGCAAGGCAGCGCCATCTCTTCGCATTATAGGTTACATGCTATAATGCGAAGAGATCAAACATCAAGCAGTTACATGCTTTAAAAATAACAAAAAAAAAAAAAAAAAAAAATTATAGTTATTTGCTTATTCAGTCATAGCATTAATTAACCTCGGTGCTCTATATAAACTTTGAACTCCCGTCTAACCCCTAAAGGGATGAGTTTTGAAAAATCCTTTCTAAGCGCACGCCTACATCATAATAGCTATATGTGTGTCAAATTTCAGGGCAATCCGTTCAGTGGTTTGAGCTGTACCTGTACCCCTAGACGAACCAATATCAAATTCGAATAGTTTGCGAGTGCGAAATGTCATTGTCAAGTGTGGAAACTTGAACAGCAGCGCCACAATGGACGTAACGAGAACTAAAAATCAGTACACATTTGACAATGAAATTTCGCACTCGGACTAGCAAACTACACACATCAAAAGTGTCTAGGGATCAACATATATTTTTGCAATAACTTTTCTCCTGATTGATATTAATTAAAATTTTCTTTAAGGATTCATCAAATAAAGTGTTTTCGTTTGTCACAGTAACGATAAACCAAGTCACCTTTGCATTAATAAAGAAATTTGCCATTTTCCTAATAAAGGGATTTTTGACATTTGAACCACTAACACAAAAGTTCGAAAAAAAGACTGAAATAACAGTTTTCTCTAAAATTTTATTGGGTAACTTAAACAATTAATAATCCGTATTTCTACCGCGAACACTAACAACACAAGAACATCGGTTTGGCATACTCAAAATGAGTTCATCCAAATCACGCTGTGGAATGGCCGCCCATGTTCGTTGCAACAACAAAAAAAGGTCTTCTTGCGACTGGATACCCTCCATATTCGGCAGAGCTCTTCTCTGTAGCATATCCCATGCATGCTCAATCGGGTTCAAGTCTGGCGACTGAGCAGGCCAGGGCAGGACATTGATGTTAGCTGCGGCGAGAGTCTGTCTTACAACTCTTGCGGTGTGCGGTCGTGCATTATCATGCATTAACTGAAATAAGGGACCGATTTGCACTTGTAGAGGAACGATGACGTCTGATACAATCGTCTCAGCATAAATTTGAGCGTTGAGGTTGCCTCTGATCCAAATCAACTCAGTTCTTCCGCCGATCCAAATACCCGCCCATACCATTATGGTTCCACCACTATAAGGATGGACTTCCTGGCAGGATTTTAATCGCTGTTGGCGTCCAGGGGTTCTCCAGTGTCGTATACGTCTTGTATCCGGTCTCATACCAAAACGAGACTCATCAGAAAAGCACACGAAACGCCATTGTTCTTCTGCCCAATTTCTGTGTTCAAGAGCCCATTGATATCGAATCCTACGATTGTGCATTGCTATAGGTGGTACCCGTAGCGGTCTTCGGGAATGAAGGTTCACTTCATGCAAGCGGTTTCTGACTGTTTGGTCGCTAATTAATTTCCCTGAAGAGTGATGAAGCCTCACGGCTAACATCATGGCGGTTATTGTTGGAGCTCTTCGAGTTAAGATTTGAATGTATCGGTCTTGTCTCCGTGTGGTGCAGCGATACCGTCCTCCATGGCGCTCAGCCACGGTACCAGTGCTTCGGTATCGTGTCCAAAGTCGACTGATAACACTCTGACTTGTATTCAGAGCTAAAGCCACAGTACGTTGCCGGGAACCAGCTTCTATCATTCCCACGGCTCTGAGCATTTCTTCCCTGCTTAAATGACGTCGCCGCTCCATAATAACGTTGGTTTTAATCAGTAGTAGGGAAACAGTAGCACTAATAATGTCTTCAATGCGTTGTATGTTTTTATAGGGAAAATATTGACAGCTGATTTTCATCTTTTACTCGAATTTGATTCACAGTTCCTGATTCAAATTATGAAATGCACCAAAAAGGATCCATATAAATTTATAAAATCATAAATTTATTACAAAGCCACATCTCAATCTCAAGAAATCCGCATAAAAATGCTTGATCCCTAGACACTTTTGATGTGTGTATTTGAATTCGATATTGATTCGTGTTAGGGGTATTTGTCAAATGTGTACTGATTTTTAATTCTCGTTACGTACTTTGTGGCGCAGCTGTTCAATACAAAATTTGACATTGACATTTCGCACTCGCAAACTATTTGAATTTGATAATGGTTCGTGCTAGGGGTACTGTGCGTTGGTAGATCAGTCAGTCAGTAATGGATGCCTTTTATGAATGCAGATTAAAGACGATAGACAATATGAAGTATTTAAGTAAACAATTTCATTTCAAATAGGACAAAACTATTTTACTTTAAAATAATAACAAACTTTTATGCTTTTATTAGAAATCCTTCCACTGAAATTTCCCTGTAGCTTTTCGAATATTCAAAGTAATCCAGTAACGTATTGCCGTGATTTCACATGTTACCGAAGGACGGTCTCAATGGAGTACGTCAAAAAGTTCAACTAATAAGGGTTATGAAAAAATCTGAAAGCTATTTCTTTGCGAAACGCCGAAAGGTCAACTGGAAGCGATCTTATTTATTGCCCAAAAATTTCGTAACTTTTCTAAGGGTTTTTGTCCCTGTATAAAAGAAAAAATAAATCTCAGTAACTTCTTGGTACCCAACATTTTAAGTCTCTTCAATTTATATATTATAGGAAACTGATTGATCGTAATACTCGTATTATAATGGTACTACAAAATTTTATTTATTGATGTATTAATAATTTACAAGTATGATAAAAAATGGAAATCTTTACAAAGTATCATGAACAACTGAAAGAAAAATATTATTTAATGTTCTCATCTCATAAATTTTATGTTATTCCCTTATTATATAGAATTATACCTATACTTAATATGATTAACGTTTGTTAATGTAAATTTAGTCTATTTGATACTTAGATTACCTATGTTTTAATCTAATATTCGTAATCTAAAACTGCCTTATATAAAGTCACTTTTC